AGGATCCAATTTCGTGCAGCCAATTATTTAGCTTCCAATTTTAATAATAATAGAACTTTTCTGTTTTTTTTTTCTTCTTTTTTTCTTCTTTTTTTCTTTTTTTTCCTCCTTTTTTTTTTTTTAATAAACACACTATTCACTGAATAATACAAATACGATAAGTAACAACACCAAAACGTGCCATCGTTAAATACTTTCTGTCGTTTTATATTTTGCAGAAAATTTTCGTCTTCGTGACGCAATATCATATATAGAAAGTTCTCTCGTGCTCTCAGTAAAAATTTCATCGGCAATATTAATTTACCAACATAAGTAATGTAATTTGCATTAATAAATCATTCGAGCCATGAATTCTCTTGTAGATAAAATATTTCCTACTCGCAACATAACAACTTTAATAAGCCTTCGTAAATTTCTAATTAAAAGAAGTTCGTGTGTGTTTCAACGAATTTGAAGCCGAAGGGGAGAGAAGATGAGTTTGAATGGCATTGGAGTTCGATACGAAGCAAAACTTTTTCGAAATGATTATTATGTTATGCTGAATAATCACATGTTGAAGTTGCAAGAATAGCGATGCCATTAAATGCCTATCGCACGATAGTAGCGAGGCACAATCGAACGAACATTATCATAATGGTCGGACATCTAGGAAACTCTCGTTCCAACCCATTAAAATTCCACCAGTTTAATCGAGAAAAAGCCCATGGGTCACCGTAAAATTCCAAAACATCGGTATCCCCCAATACTCGAGCAATGTGTGTGGATTAGCTCTAGAAGAATTGCACGTCGAAGCAATACGTCCGTCGCTCCCATCGCCTCCATACCTCCTATCCCCACCCCTCCCACCATACTTCTGCCCGGCGGGACAATTTTACGAGCTTGCGACAGTCGGCCGAGCCCTCTGATCATTGGCGTCATTGGCGCGTCTATGAGGTTTGCCTCCTTCGTTAACAATGGCCCGATGGTTGACGCTGGGCGACCGTGGCCTCTTCCGAAGAACGTCCCCGTAATGTCAATTAGTGGCTGAGCCTTGGACTGGTTCGTTGCAACGAGAGGAAAATCTGGACGATGCATCTCGGCCGAGCATGATGAAAGAAATGTTTCGCTGGCTGCTGGAACGCGAGGTTAATAATAATTGTGTTCCGGGCGCGATAGCCAATGTCGATTTAACATCTTTCCTCTCGTACTGCTTTTCTTTCATCGCACCTCACTTTGGCGGTGCAGGGTGACGCATCCACACTGTAATTACAAATGTAAATGCAAGTAGTAGCGGCAAGACAAAGAGGAGTGAAGTCGGTTTAAATGAAAAGGAAAAAATACGCGGCGCACGCGAATTTTTATACTATTTCCTGTTTTACATACTAGACTATTGCGAGGATCATTTGGATAATCTAGAATTTGTAAGGTTTGCAAGTACGTATCATTGAGATAAGATTGAGTAACTTGAGTTAAGTTACGATGTGAATGCAATATTTCAATATATCGTAGCTCAATGCTTTTGTAATTAGTTTTGCTCGCTTTGTTCCATAAATCGATGTCGAACTCGATTACACCGATCAGGATGACAAAGTCGTCGAGTTCAAGGCCTCGTCATCGCCTCCTCTCCGCTCTCGGCCAATTGTATGACTTACTTTGGAATTTACGGAGTACGCGGGAACAGTGTTTGGGCTCGATACCGAAGATTGATCTCCTTGTTCTCGATCCGTTTAGAAAAACAAGGCCCTTCACTCCGGACTCTCGGCACTCTTTCTATAACGGAATCCTAAGTTCAATTGCGAATCGCGTAAGTACAATTTCTCGATTCGGGTCGCTTCGAGATTTTATTTAGCAATTATATTGTTTTGTGCTTGTTTTGCTTTTGTTGTTGTTTTTCTTTCTTTTTCTTTTTCTTTTTTTTAACGTTCACTTAACAATAGCTGTTTTTTTTTCAATTGCCTCGACATCCACATTCTCGGAACGTGAGAAAAATCACACTCAATTTTTTTTTCACATCGTGCTGCAGGAGCTCTCGTTCTAGCCTTGACAGTATAAATTTGCCTAAAATCCATTTAACATCCGCACTGCGACAGCGTATATACGGAGGTGATAAGTATATAAATAATCTTTATTATTATAAATTGAACTAAAATATGGGGGGGGGGGGTAGAGAAAAATATTCCATTTCTATCGAAAAATTTTTTTTCCATCATGACGTAAGGAAAAAGCGCGAGAGAGAAAACATTAATCGCTAATGCTAGAAATCAGATATTTTTAAATCCAGTTACCAATTATAATGGATTTTATTATAAAAATCATCCAACAAATTACAAATACTCTTAGGAATGCGAAATAAAAATGACTTAAAAAATTATCCAGTGAAATATAAGAGGATTTTCTATTTCGTATCATTTTTTGTTTGTTTGTATGTTTGTTTTTGTTTGTATTGATAGAGCGCACGATTAATTGACAAATGTTAAATTACGCTCTTAGCAAATAAATAAATTCTAGATAAGTGATTGCGATGAATTTTCGCGCACTCTTGCAAGCATCAAAAGCCCACTTCTTTCCTTCTATCGACAAGTGCCGTCAAACAAAAATCATTAGCAGCCGCTATAAGCTTCAAACAAACGAGATCCGTTAAATCGAGCAATTGCGATTTGTTACACGTGGTTGAAGGAAGCCAGGCAACAATCATTCGAGCATCGTTTTGCGCAGTGTAAAACGCGTTGCCACGCGCCCGACCCTCCTACCTCCTGCAGAACAAAGCCACAATGATGCGGACGGATGACGCGTGTACATTCCACACGACGACACTGTCAAGCTGGAAATTCTCTAAGTACGGCCGATGAAAGCCATAAGTCGAGAAGAGTCGCTTCCTACTCCGACTGACCTCCTCATCGCCCCGCGCATCCTCGAAGGAGTCATATTTAGCGGGCGTGTCTGCGAAAGCCGTCTTGCGGCTTTCCTGATGATAATCAGGCCCAGTGCGTTCACACGGTATCGCGGGTTCCGCGTGTTCCGCGTGTTCCGCGTTAAATTAGCACCCGCAGGCACATTTCTAACTCTCGCTCGGGCTGCCGTGGGTCCTCCCGCCCCCCGCCGGAAGCACGAACTTTCTTCCACCTTCCGACTCGCAGCCGAGTGCCCTCGTGCATCTCATTGTCATTATTCGTTTGGCGGGTTTGGGCCTCGTTTATCCCGCCAAGCTTAAGCGCGAGGTGAGACGTAACTTTCGAAATCTTGAGCGCGCGCGGTGATGAGGCGATTTTGCGCTACTACGGCCTATCGATCGCGCTCTTCCTCGATCTTCAATACAATTCGACTTCAATATGCAGCTTCGGTGTAACGAATTTTTACATTCGATCGATTTGGCCGTGGGCTTGGATTAGAGGGGCCCCGGCGTAAGATTTTCAAGGCGCCCACGACGAGCATTATTATCTTGAGAAATGATCGCGCATTGTCAACAACGTTGATCCACTATTTCATTCCTTACCATCACCTTTTTCCTTTACCAACTGACAAACACATATCGCTATTATTTAAGCTTGCGGGATAAAGAGGAATCGTCCAGCACACTTTACTATATAATAACGATAACATTAGCGAGCACAACCGTCTTGCTTTGATTAAACAATTTATAATATACACTGGCGCTGACACAATATGACGCATAACACTAATATATCCTTTCTATTGAAGATTTGAAATATTGAAATAATTTAGCGGCGTCGTGGGAAACTTTGATTTCTTAATTGTATTACCGACAACACTTATATCGCTGCGTACGCGAGAATTAATATATCTATTTAATAGCGTTAGATTGTAAGTACGTCATGGATGATTTATGCATCGCTACTAAGAATGCAGATAATAATTACCGAATTGACGATAGTATCTTAGTGTACTAATAATACATCACTTTCATTAAATTAAAGAAAATAGTAGTTGTCATTGTTCTGTGTGTCTTATGGTTGTATGACGCGCGTAGAAAATATTATGCCCGAGATTCAATAAAAGATGGAATATGTAATCGGTAAATTGAGGAGCCACGGTACAATTAAGTTTTTATATTATTACAACTATATGTGACGCGACGTGTCAATTATCGAAGTCATTAGGGTTTATTGGAGAATTCCGTTGTATTTCTCTTCGAGTTTTGGCTTCCAATTTATTCTTTCCGTCGTATTCTTTATGGTAAAGTGACTTGCGTTAAAAAAAAGCTTTTAAATCACACGAATATTCCAAATGATTATCTTACGCATTAAACGCGCTCGATTTCTCAAATATAATGTCACGATAAATGCGTTATTTTTTTTTTTTTTGTTTTTTTTTGTTTTTTTTTTTGTTTTTTTTTTTGTTTTTTTTGTTTTTTTTTTCTATTATCGTCCACTCATTAAATTATCGCTTATACAAATCTCCATAATGCAATATTGCGCGAGGATCGATCGTGTTCGCCATAATTTTATCATCGACAGAGCCTTCAAAATAAAATCTGCGTAACGTTATAAGTTACGAGTGCGCAAACATTTTCACTCCTCGCATCCGACAACAACCACACGCAACAACCACAAACACGCATGAACAATGTCTCGCGACAACGCATCAACGAGAGATCGTGAATCTAACACTCGATCCTAGCAGTCGTGGCACTTGGAAACTGCGAAAAAAACTCCTTGCGCGTTGTTTAAAAAAGTTATTGCGAAAAGACGAGGGGGACTCTGGGGCGCAACCCCCGAAGCATTCGATTATCACAAGATAATCGCACCTCCTCGTGTCCCGTATCGTCCATCGTCCCTCGGGCCCCGCCGCGCCCACGAAACCACGATGCTCAAGGCGCGCAATGGTCGCCGAAAAGCGGTCTCGGCTCGCGCGAACGGTACTCCGGTGCTCCCCTCGGCCCCTCCGGTGCGCCGCCCAACGAGCGAGAGGTGGTCCATCGGCGCGCCGCCTCTCTCACTCACTCGGCGGCTATTATTCTCATCTCGGGCGTCTCGTGTCCGTCGGTCCCAGTCGACGCCACGAGCTCACGTACGGCGGTGCGGAGAGGCGCGCGCCCGGCTTTAGCCACGCGATGTGAGGTGTGCACGAGTGCCGATCGAGCAGCCCCCGTCAGAGGCCAGAGCGGAGGATGGAGGCTGGAGGGAACGGCGCCGACAGCCGGAGCGACGCGCTCAACAACAATCGCGGGACGAGCGCCAAGCCGAAGCCCGGGACCTCGGGTCGCGAGCAGAGCAACCTGGACGACGCCGTCGGCAAGCTCCTCCAAGGTACTCACTCGCTTTCGCCTTCCTCGGGCGAGCCTCCATTGTCTCAAAAAAAATACTAGAATACTATGCGTCCTGCAAACAAAATCATTTTCGCGCGGCTAATCGCGGTAGTTGGATCATTCGCGCCATTTTATTCGCGACCCATTCACGGGACAGGCGACACAATTTAATCGTTAATACTTCTGTTGCAATTAGTGGACAGTGATTAAGCTAATATTGGATAGCCACGAGCCATAATTGGTGGTGATGTTGAAGAATCACAATTGATGGAAAATAGTTTGACGTTAATTGACGACTAGGATAAATCACAATCACCGCTAATATTTCTTTCGCGTTTTCTCGCACATTTTTCACTAAAAAATTCAATGCCATTAATCGATATTCATTGTAATTTGATAAACGATAAACTCGTTTCTCTCCCTCTCTCTCTCTCTCTCTCTCACACACACACACACACACACACACACACTCTCTCACACACTCATCACACTCACGCTCTCTATTCGTGAATATCATATTTTCGCATTTATTCAGCGGGAATACTTTCAATGGCCTTATTGTGAGCGATTTTATGGCAAAGATCGATATTACAAATCAATTTAATAAGGCTTTCTTTTGCTCGGTACGAGACTTTAGGAAATGGAACAACGACTTCCTTCCAATGTACGAACTATCTTAATTATTATTAATGTATTTATTACCTTCTAGAATATAAGTAATTTGTCATAAATACATAAATAAATAAATAAATCGATAAATAAATAAAGACGTATAAGAAATTAAAATAACTGCAGTTGAGTTACATTTTATTTGGGAATGTGAAAAATTTCTTAGATTATTATAAAAATCTGTTCTTGGTCGAAGAAGAAAAAACAATTTCTTTCTCACTTCGTTGAGGACAATTCCGTTTATTAGCTAATGATGAAAAGATCGCCTCGAGATCGACTCATTTGTAATTGAAAACTCAGCTGAGTTTCAATCATCCAATGACTCCTTCGTTCGCGATGATGAAATACCGTGACACTGTTTATCATTAAAAAGCAAGTAAACCGAAGAGAAAAAATGAAACTAAGAAGGAAGAAATGATGAGAAAAGAAAATTAAATGCTGCTCATTATTTTTTATGCAAAATGAAGTTTCGTGCACTTCGAAGAGAATGGTTTTGAAGGGAAACACATGCATTACAAAAGACTCATTCAACCGAGTAGTTATCATCTTTGGTGTTTATTTTTGAAATTCAGGTATATTACATCTGGCTACGTTTCATAATGTTTTATAGGAATATAAAATTACTTTGTGCTCTAAGCTTAATTATCGCGTTCGAAAGTTTAATATCGAATTGAAAAAAAAAAACAAAAAAATTTCATCCTCGTTTATTTTCGTCTTTCTCTCTTCTTCTCTTTTTCTTCTTTCAAATGCATGTTAGCATCTTATGAAATTTATAAAAATCTTGTACAAATTGAATCGAATCACTCGTGGAATACTGTAAACAATGTCGTCGCTATGCTGACACACGTATTACCGAATCGCAAAGCATTACAAATTTTCCACAACATTGCAATAATCCTCCGTTACTTCCATTTTACGTTTTTAGCGTAATTTTTACCATTATTCACTGTGTACCTCATATGATCGTTTTCCAATACTTGGACAGACTATCCATTCATCTTCGTCCAAATTAGCAAAATTTTTTTATTCATTTACATTGTTATATCTAAGAACTAAAAATTTGCTTTTAGTCTTTAACGAATGAATGCAGCGAAAAACAAAAATGAGAACAAGAAAATTAAAGAAATAAAGTGCCAGAGCACTCAAAGGCATACGCCCTTTAATTATTGGATAAGAATTATATAATAATTATCATAGCTTATTATTAAAAATTTGAATGGATTGTAAAAATAAATGCTTCGTCGAATTGACGTAAAATAATGGCCATTTTGAATTATAATATTACTTGGGCATAATAATAGGGTTTGCCAACGAATTAATTACATCGGATCTTGAAGTATCATATATTTAGCTGTGAACCATCGACACTGCCAATATAAATTACTTATAATTTCAAGTCATTAAGTTTTATATATGCAATTTTAATAAATGACGAAAGGGGCTCCGCATTATTGCATGCGCGAGTGATAATAAATTAATCAACTGTCAGAAACGTTTGCGCATCCTTCGGATCGTTTTTGAATATTTATCACTGCAAATATCCGAATATTCGATACTAGTGGATTTGCCAAATATCCCAACACTGTCATCCCAGCAGCTTGGCAGCACATTCTAAGACGCCATTTACGACGACACGACCAAACCCACCACATTTATTCCATCTATCGCTATTTTTATTGCCCGATGGGTCTTGGAACAAAAAAGAAAAAGAAACGGGACACCCGACTTTTCACTAAGTTAAATTTCATTGTTATTAACGCCCTACAAAATACGATTACAAATCAAGTGCAAAGATCGGGCATTCCAAGAGGAAATAAACAGTATTCACAGACATTTATCTTCCGAAAGGAAATGTATTCCGCAAATAAGATAGGCGCGAGCGATAAGTCTAATTACGGAAAATAAGCAGGTATGATATATTACCGCAGCTGTCCACGGCCTCTACTATGTATTCTCCGTATCTCTAATAATCGCCGTTTCGGTGACGCTCCACCGAATCACGACACTATGCCACCGCCACCATCGCCGTCGCCCCCGCCACCAACACCGCCACCGCTGCCACTGCCTCCATCCAATTCAATAACTAACGACTATAAGCGATCCTAATGAAACAGACGCCTTTAACACATACCCCGTTAACGCGACCACCCTCGACCAATCCCGCTTGCGTCCTACGAACTGAGTTACACACAAATACCACCGCTTCCTCGGCACAAAAAGCAAAAAAGTAAAAAAGCAAAAAAGCATCAGCGTAGGTGTCGAGGGTCGCCGCGCGCTTAGCGAGAACATTTTATTTGGCGTTTTAAAAGCTCGGGCCGCCTCGTCTCGACGGCCATCGTACCCACCCGTCCCTGCCAATTTCTATGCTCGATCCTACTCACCCCCTCCCCCGCCACTCCATCTGAAATACAAATCAATCCAGTCCAATACTCCGTCCGCCCTCACAACCTCGTCCACGCGTTACTTTACTTTACGCCGCGCCGTTTATTGCTTATTAGCAATCGTCTTGTTCGCAGTTCTCGTCTCCTCCTCCTCCTTCTCCTCCTCCTCGTTCCGGGCACCACGATGAGCTGGCATAACGGATAGAACGCGCTAGTAGAATTTTATTATCGACCGATGCATGTACGACCACATTTGCACAATCATTGATTTGAAAGGTGGGGAGGGGAGGGGGGGGGAGGAGGAGATATGGGGGTAGAGGACGGCGGAAGGTGCACTTTAACCACGAGCTTGAATTATACTTCGCCAAACATTATAAAATCCGCGCGCCCGTTGCTTTATTCGCATTCCCCTCCCTCGGGCCATCTAATCGTTAAAGGGGTTGAAGTATCGTTAAAGTACCCTCAACATTCGACATTAGCTGACGCTCGGTGTCCCTTTAAGCGAACGGGATCTCGCCTCTATTCCATCGGTGCCGAGGATAAAAAGCTAAAAGCCGAGAAAGATGATTAGTAATGGGATGACTGGGGGTCCCAAATCCGATAATTTCTCCCATCGACGTTAACTCATCGTACGATCCACGGCGCTGGTAATTCGATCCCTCGCACAATTCCACGCGATCAGCAGCCTCCAATGCGGCAATTAAGCAATCGATCCACCACGAGTCCCCTGGACGCTGCTCGGGGTTTTTTTTCTTTTTTTTTTCTTTACCTCGCCGGTCCCTATCCCGCCCCAAAACAACGACCAAAGTATCCCAATTTGTCAATGGGAGAACGCGCGAGCCGAGTAGCCTCGTTGCCGGGCTAGTCGATGCCGTGATCGGTCAACGCTTACGACACAGCGTCCGATCTAAATTCGGCGCGGATCGCGTCGTGCGGGTGGCGCCACCTAGCCGTTTATTTAAATCCGCGTTAACGACGTTAATGTCGACGTAGCGGCGGCCCTCGTCGGCGTAACGAACCGCTATCAACGGCAAAATGGGGGATGCCGACGCGCACGCGGCAGGTGCTGCGAGCCGAGCGAGACCGCAGTGGCCACTAATTACGCGAGTACCCGAATTAAAACTGACGCGCCGAGGAGCGCGGCGATATTTATTGCGCTTCTACGTACGCACCCGCAAGCCGCGACCCACCCCACACCGCAGCACACCACCCTAGTCCCCGTCATCCATCCACCATACATTACCGAAATAGCGAGGGCTGGATCGTATATGGGCTATTTCGATGATCCGAGAAGGAAAGATCGTCGGCGCGGGCAGTTATTTGGCGGGCTCCGGTCGCCCGGGGGACTCGGCCTTTAGCCTTAGAGAGCACGACGTCGGGATCGCGAAGCCGCAGTCGATTTACACGGGCCGATTCTGGTGGATGATGGATCATGGTCTGGCCGTACTGGACCGTCAACGTCCCGTTAGTCTCGAGGGGGGTTACGTATGGACGTGGGGTCCCCGTGACGTCCTAGTACGCTAGGACGGGGGGAGGGGGTACCGCGGGCGTCGAGACGCCTAACGAGTCCAAGGCGATACGTCTCGCGAAGGGATTATTGGCCGTGGAACAACAACAAAAACAGCAGATCCCTTGTGCCGCGAGTAGTAACACCGCACCCATTCCACTGCACTCGGAAGCGGCACAAGGCCAGCCTTGTCCCTCGAGCGCGCAGGTGTCCCCGGCGAAGGTGCCGCTCGTACGGCCTCTCCCTTTCGGTCTCTGCTTCACCTGTGCCCTCTTCTCGGGATTTCCGAGCCCGATGAGCCGTGAGTTCGCTCGCGCGAATCCCGGCACCTTCTCGCGTTCAACTCGATACGCTAAACACGATGGCGAAATAAGGTGAGCCTTGTCGTTGTTACGGCGACTCCCCCCCCCCCCCCCCCCCCCCCCGC